TGAGNCGGAATGGTGCGTAACTACTGTAAACGCCAATCTCAATTTCTAAATTGCTGTATCAGATTGGTCCAACGCTGTCAGTAGTGGTCTTATCGGGCGCCATGATCTAAAAATGTGCCGACAGCCGTCCGATCACGTCAACGCTGGATATGTTCAAGGTTTCGCACTCGAGCTCGACGCAAACATCTACAGTGGATCCACTGCCCTCCCGATTGGTCCCACGACGAAGTCGCATCACCTCTTGGACTGTGCGTCCTTCTTCCATTCAGTATGGATACCGAAAGTTTACGAAATCTAACAGGTGCTTTCGAGCAATTCGAACAGAAAATGCTTACATGGACCTACATCGCTTTTTCCAGTGTGTATCGACCAAGCTTGCGCCCTTGTTGCAACGATTAAGGCACATGCCCTTCCTGGATTTCTCCGAAATCGTTTCAACGGTTTACTGACCAAATTGGAAGACCAAAAACAGGTGAAGGTTCTTCTTCCCGAACGCGCTGCCGTGCAGGTCTTTCGTCGGCTGCGGCTGAATGGCTGCGTATCGTCCAGCACCAGATGGCAACGATGCAGACAATGATACCGAGGCACGCTCTTCACTCGAGTGTGCACGTCCTCCTCCTCTTCCCCTTCCTTCTTCTTTCAAGACAGAAGCAATGTTCCACGTTCGTTGTACATTCGAGAACAAAGGCGCTATACACGACGATTCGGAGGCAAGTGTTCCACTTTTTTTCAAGGGTGCGCTCAATCTTACAGAATATTAGACTACCTCACAACGTTACCTCAATGAACCCTGGTCTTGTGGTTTTGCCAGGGAATAAAACTTTCAAATTTCTTCAAGCCGACAAATGTGCCAACATACTCCATTCTTCGGTTCGACAAGGGCAGAAACGAGAGCTTACACATGAATTGTGACGAAGCCGTAGAGTCGCTAGCCTTGGCATGGTTACTTCGATCTGGTATGTTTTGCCAACCTCCTTTCTAGCCGTATTGCTCAAAGTTCTTTAGCGCCTCCTGAAATTGGTGAACTCATCGGAACGCGAACATTCGAAGCCCTTTCCATCCAATTCTATTGGGTCCATTTCAGTTTTTGCAGCGCCAATCCTTGACTGCTGATCGTTAACCTGACTGCTACATCATATACGATGCACTCTAATTTATCAGTCTTCAGGTTGGGGTCAAGCCTACCTTTGCATTGTGTTTTTATCGTATCGGAGTCAACATGCTTCTCTTGCGGATACGTCAATACTAGGAGGAATGGCTCTGCCGCGGAGCGCGTGTACAGTCCGTGTTAACATTGCCTCATGCAACGACGACCAGAGCGAAGACCAAGGTGACCAAAGATCAACACCACTATCAAAGCAAGAACTGCCATCGCCAAGGCTGTTGCAACGAACAACGGCTTCGTGGCACATGCCCTCCGTGAATCTCTCCGAAATCGTTTCTATGGTTTATTGACCAACTGGAAGACAAAATCCAGGCGGAGGATCCCAGCAGAGGCCCAATTTGTCTAGAAGCTGGCGGACTACTTCAATGCTGAGATCGTGCTTGGGACCCTCCGGAATTGTGACGAAACCACTTAATGGCTTGGCTACATTTACCCGTGCGTGTGTACCTTCCTTTTCTCCTCTTCTCCCGAATCTAACATTTGTTTGTAGCTTTATTCGCATCGAAGCGGGCTGGAGAGTCGAAGACGCTGATGCAGAGGCTGAATCCGGATCGAAGCCAAAAGGCGGGTAGGCGTGGATTACCAAGAGGAGGATGTCCTCACGCTGCTGCTGTAAATTCATGGCCTTTTAGGGTTTGTCCTCGTCGCTGACCTGGTCTTTGTGCAGCAATCCGTGGGCGGTGTGTACTGATTAACTGCTTCCTTAAGACAGCTCTCGACCCTTTTTGTGGGTACTATTTGTCCTCCCATTGTTTCGTCGCTAACAATGCCCGTCCCGTAATACAGGAGAATGCTGTCGTTCCCCATGGTCTCATCGGTCATTCGGGCGACGCAAGACGTTGAAAGCGTCACCTATCGTCCACAGACCGGGGAAACACGCGAAGTCTACGAACTTATTTTTTCCTCTGTGCATACTGCGCTTGGAGTGCTGCCGATTCCACGCTCGACACTCTCAAAAACAAGGGGACGAAGAGTTTTGACAAAAAGAAGGATATTGAGCCATTCCGAGCGAGCAGCTCTCACAGCTCGTCAATCTTTCGAAGAAATTTACGAATTACAACGCTGAAGACGAGGCTATGGTCAATCCAGACATGGAAAAGCGAGATCGATGAGGAAGTTGGTGTGGCTGTCGTCTTCGACGAGGATTAGCAGGAGGAAGAGCCGAAGTGCACGTTGAAAGCTGAATTCCTTTATGCGGACACATTCAGTTCTCATGAGATTGCGGCCGTTCGGCGTGCATTTGGAGCACGATTAAAATCACTCCGAAGGTGCATGAACGTCGCGAGAATGTCGCACAGCGATTAGTTGGATCTCCTAGTGAAAACCAGGAGAGACGAGAGAAGGCACACTGTGAGTTATGCTCTCATTTCGATGCCAATGGGCACTCACTTGCGGACAATTGGCAGCTCTTTTCCAGACGTATCAATGCAGCTATTGACTTGCCCGAACTCGCCGGAGAGCATGTTCATATCCTTCAACGCCTTGGCGTGGATGGGATGAGTGCAGACGAGTCGGACCATGAACTCACTAGGACCGGGATTCCTCAATTCCGCATACGTAAGAAATATGAGCGGCTTGGGGTAGGGCTTTGCAAATTCGATGCTTTACATCGCTTTCGTCGCTTCGCACCAATTAGGCGTACTGGACCAGGTGCGCCCCAACTCTCCAAAGTTCTCCCAGAGCACCACGACTCGACACATGCAGCGCAATGTGCCGAAGACGCTGCTGAAAGAGTCCGTCTCTCAGCACCCAGTCTCTCGTTTCATTCACTTTTTGAAAAATTTGACGACCGCAATGTTCTTAAGGGACAAGCCCATCAAGAAGACAATTACCTACTTCGTCAAACCTGATGACTTGGTCACAGTGTAAAGGACAGTAATCCGCGAGACTGCCTGCCATTTGACTTCGCCATACATCATGCCGGATTGCCGGGGGAGGACCAGTGTTGGAGCCGATTAACACGTCCGTGGCTTACATCCTCAACACGCACGCTCGAGGAGGAGTTCTTCGCAAGATGCTCCTGCACCGCGTCGTCATTCGTCTCAGCCCTCACTGGGTCTCCGCAGTCCTAGCACTCGAGCGATTTGGTCATCCCGTTGAGCGCTGCTGAAGGAGTTCGGGATGGGTGCCAACGAACCGCTTGCACGTAATTATGTAAGGAATCAACACACCAACAACTCTGTCTTTCTCTGCTCATGCTACTTCAGATCTATATTGTTCAGTCAACCGAAAGATGTCGACACATGGCGTCAGCGATTGGCGGGTTTTAATCCAGTGTGTTCATCTCTCATGGCAAAAGGTCGGAAACCAGGCGAGCACTGGACAGCCTGGGCCTTTCTACCATAATTTGGCGCGGATACACGCAAATCATTTCGGGTGGACGAGTACGACCTTCTACGGAGCGGAGAGGTAAGACGGCTCTCCTGCATTCCCTTGTTCGAATCTTACCGCCATTTTAGGTGACAGCGAAATAGACGTACGCCGGTGAAGTCGGTAAATAGGATGCAAGGCATTGTAGTACAATGATACCGTGCGCTCCAAAAGTATTTAAACGGAAAGAGGCTGATGCTGAAGGGTGCTCTGAGGAATCTGGTCTCACGCATTGGACAAGGATCCAAGCAAGATGCACGTCTATGTACCTAAAGGCCGTAACTCATCACCTACATCCTCACCGTCACACCACTCACGAAACCGCAAATCTGGTGCCATCGACCTCGCAGCCTCTCTCATTTCAGACGACATCATCGTCATCTGCAATGCCCGTCTTTCGCAGCCTTGGTAGCGTCACTTCGATCTGGTACACTTTGTCAACGTCGTTTCTAGCCGCAAGTTCTTTAAAGTTAGACCCTCCTGAAAATGGTGAACTCCTCGACTCATCAAATTCTTAACGCTGGACGCCTGGTGCACTAGCTTCTCGATATCTAACTTCTGAGGGGACGAAAAGAATTTCTAACGCTGGACGCCTGGTGCACCTTCTCGCCCATAGCTTCTCGATGCCTAACTTCTGAGGGGATGAAAAGATCCACGGTACGACGGACTCGCGACCTTCCTTACCATGGAGGAAGATGCGAAACAAGTCGTCATTTATAACACATAACAATCCTACTAACAATCTACTTGAAAGCAATGGAACACAAGGTAGAACCGTCTATCTTGATTTCCATAACCCTGCTGGGCTGTTCATCCTCATTGCGTGCGAGACACTCTATGAGCCCTTGTAAAGAGTCTGATAATTCTTGTACCCGCTCGGTAAGAGAAGCCATCGTCTCCGCCAAATTATCGCTCTCCTGTTGAGGGAAACAGACCATGAGACAAAAAAAAGAGAAAGAAAAGGAGTGAAAGAACCTACGGAACTATCACCTTCTATATCAAATTCGGACATGGGACTCGGGCTGGTGTTCCTGGAGCTGAGCACCATGGGGAGATCCTAGATAGATGATGAACAAAGTTGCACGAGAAGGGCTGCAGGAAAAGTACTCACCTCCGTGTGATACTGATGCTGGTGCAATCCAACAAACACGGAAGTCGGGGGACTGTAGTCCTGGGTGTGAAATGCCTGTGCGAAAGGCGACGGGATCGTCGGGGTATCAGGACTTAGGGAACCGTGGTTCTGGGCTTGGAATGCCTCTGCGAAAGGCGACGGGATCGTCGGGGTATCAGGACTTTCAAGTTGGGTCACTGAGCTCCTTAGGTCCACCAAAGCTTGAGCGGCGCGAAGTTCATCATCTTGGAGGACTGGATGATGCGTCGTGGCATCAGTCCAACATCACTGGCAGTCGAAATTTACGCACCCTCTGGCATAACAACGTCGGAGGCCTTGTCCTCGTCTGCTACAGTGGCTCGTGACATGCGGGCGGTGGCCACGCTCAGGCTAGTTCCATGGAGATTGAGTTGGTATGGCGCAAGTCTAAGACGTCGGTGAATGGCTGAACGAACATGGCGGTGGATCATTGTGAGGACTAGAGTGGCATGGAACAGAAGGAAAGTAGGGAACGAAGACAAGGAAAAAAGATCCATGAAAAGGCGTCCTTAACAAAGAGGAGTTGGATCGTTTGGATCTACTGACAGTGACATGAGAAAGAGATTTATGAAAGAGATGGGTGTGGTGAAAGTGATCGCGAAGGGTCCAACCCCGATGCATCAAGCATGAGGCAACCTTTGCCAATAAATACTATTAGCTAACTACTGACCAATAGTTCAAACAGGCGTTTGCGGGTGATACGCAAGCCACCAAGGCCGTCCTCAAGAGCAGAGAGTGGCGGGTGACGAGGAAGGAGCTTCAGGATATGTGAGCACATGTTCATAGTCAATCGAGTTCAGTACAAACGCACCTTGGTTGTCAGAACCTCCACAATTGACGAAGACCCATCCGTACACAGATTACCATCAATGCTCAAGACTAAGCGAATTGCTACCCTGCTTACCTTGATACTGAAGCAGTCCGAGAAAGTACCAATGTCTGGAAATCTTGGCGAGGAAAGCGGGAACTCTTGCGATTGCTCGGCCTTGAATATTTTACCCTGCTACTACAAATGATGGATCGGTCAGTAACTGAAAACTTGAATGAGAAGCGCCGATACCTCAGTTGTTTGTTGATCGATCAGATTCAAGAAAGAAAAGTTAACGTTGAGGAGACTGCACGTGGTGGCGTATGCGACAAAGAGGTGTGTGGGCACCTAAAGGGATTCAGTTTTGCAAAGACGTTTGTGCCATCCCTGGCCAAGCTTAATCAGGAGGATTGTCAAGAGGTGAATGTTCGACGACGGCCGATAGTCATGCTCATTGAAGCTAGCTAAAACTAACCATCTGGTTAGCAGTCACCAGTCAATCGTCAGTGATTAGCAAAATGACAAAGCCTGGACAAGACCTCGTGTTAGTTCTCGTGGTATTGTTTCACGACATCTCAGGCACCGGCAGGTTGGATCTGATTGAGTGACGACGCAAGGGTAATTGGTTAGATGTTGAGGTATAATATAAAGTGACCCTAATAGCGATAAGTTCATCTGAAGACCTAGAAGTTAGACGGCATCGTATATCATGTAGCAGGCAGGTAATCACCAGTCAGGAATGACGCTGCAAAAAAAATGCAATAGACCCGAGAGAGTTCAATGGAATGGGCTTCATATTTCATGAGACGATCGGAGGAACAGCCCCGCCACGCGGAGCGCCTGTAAAGTTCGTTTTTGGAGTTGGAAGAGAGGTGAAGGGAGGTATGTATAATTTGGTTGTGTTTATTTCCAAAGCTATTCCGAATATTAATGACGATCATGATCATTCTTCCACTCATGCACAACGACGACCAGGACGAAGAACAAGGCCGCCAGAGACCAAGGCCACTATCAAGGTGAAGGCCGTAGTCACTACTACTATGGCCTGGATTGTGCGACAGAGGGGTTGGATGAGGCGGAATGGTGCGTAACTACTGTAAACGCCAATCTCAATTTCTAAATTGCTGTATCAGATTGGTCCAACGCTGTCAGTAGTGGTCTTATCGGGCGCCATGATCTAAAAATGTGCCGACAGCCGTCCGATCACGTCAACGCTGGATATGTTCAAGGTTTCGCACTCGAGCTCGACGCAAACATCTACAGTGGATCCACTGCCCTCCCGATTGGTCCCACGACGAAGTCGCATCACCTCTTGGACTGTGCGTCCTTCTTCCATTCAGTATGGATACCGAAAGTTTACGAAATCTAACAGGTGCTTTCGAGCAATTCGAACAGAAAATGCTTACATGGACCTACATCGCTTTTTCCAGTGTGTATCGACCAAGCTTGCGCCCTTGTTGCAACGATTAAGGCACATGCCCTTCCTGGATTTCTCCGAAATCGTTTCAACGGTTTACTGACCAAATTGGAAGACCAAAAACAGGTGAAGGTTCTTCTTCCCGAACGCGCTGCCGCGGAGGTCATTCGTCCGCGTTCGTTGTTATTTGAGAACAAAGGCGCTATACACGACGATTTAGAGGCCTACCCCTAACTGGACAGGCTCAGAACTGTGATCACCAGGGTGTCAGTGACGCTCACTACGGGGATTTTGCGCGTGTACAGTTCGTGTTAAATGCCTCTTGTAACGACGATGACACATCGTGCATTTTACTTTATTTACATACACCCGTTTTCATCTAACTTACTTGCGTAATACCACTCAAATGTGACGCTCATGATGCATAGAAACCCCCGTAGTAAGAGGGAGAACTTGGCCTCTGAGAAGAAAGAATAAGTAGAAGATTGTGGTGATTTGTGGTGGGGATTGTGGGGATAGAGTACTTTCAACACCTGTATTGTTGTTTCAGCGTTAGACTGGGGTAAATCGGAAGCAGGGAACGTACCAAAGTTGCCGCCGCTGGAATGCATGTGGGGGTGAATTCCCAACAGATCCCTCCATAAGCAGACGTCTGAAAGTAGAGTCAGAATCGAATTGTCGGCATACGACTGGCCGATGGCACAAGTATCGTTTCCGTAGCCAGCAGTACCTATATATAGCGAATCAGCGTTAACGATGAGAGCCCTGAACGCGTACACGCACACAAAACTTCCCGCACCATTGAGCGACCCGTATTACGCTGTGGGAAACGACCGGTCGTTCGCAAATTGTATCAGCAGCTTTTGCAACCACCGATCTGGATGGAGATATCAGAATAAGTTTTAACTAACGGAGCGACATACGATAATCAGGCTTGGGACCACTGCCACCTTTAGAAAGCAGATGCACGCTATGACGGTCCTTGATCAGAAGAGACTGACTTTATAAAATCATTGGCTCACGAGTTGCGGCCATCGAAATCATTGTATGGCCCTCCTCCATCCTGGCGATCATCTGTCATCCCGCTGTACGTCACAGCATGATTTCTAACGACGATGGACCAAATCCCAACTCCCATCACACCACCACCCTAAAGAAACCGTCAACAACACACGCGCAAACCAAATGACCGCAGAGCGTACAATCTCATGGCGCACTGATCATTGTTGCGGAGAACCAGGCTTTCCGCCAAAGGACGAGTAGTTTTGGGAGAGTGAGGGGGGACGAAATTGGGACCCAAAGATATGAGGGAGGCGATGAATGTCCATGCAATTTCTACCTCAATATCTCCGATCTTGAAGCCATACTCTGCAACAAGCTTCAATAGCTGAGTGGCCATATCTGGTAACTTGACGATAACATCTTAGAAAACGTATAGCGGACGTTGTGGAATCGCTGAAACGAGAGCTGCAAGACCGGACCCGTGCCCTCTCAGTATCGATGACAAATTCCGCTGCAGTTTGTCCATCAGAATCAAAATCGTCTGGGGCAGGCGGAGAGAAGCATGTGAAGGCGTTGACAGCATCCACATGAACACCATGACTAGGATGGGAGAGGAGGGTGACCAGCGGCTCGGAAAGAGCATTCTATACGGAATGTGACTGCTTTGAGAACAACAACAAGAACGAAAGAGGATGGAGCCATCTGGCCTGGAATCATCGCAAGCCAACGTCCGGAGTTGGCCAGATCCTGAATCGGCGTGATTTTGACCTTGTTCACTCAACATGCGAACTCGAATCAAGTCTCGTATCAGAATCACAACCAGTTTTCAGGTGAGCAAAACGTCATGGCGGCTAGCGTTCCTTGGGCTAATGCTAACGAATTGAGATGGGCGACGATGCCAGAAAAAGTTGTGCGAGGTCGGTGGCACCAGATTTGCCGTTTTGAGTGGGGTGACGGTGAGGATGTGGTAGTAGGCGCTGTTAGCGATCTGAAAAACGTGCGGGGGAAGTCTGATGAGTCCCGGTACTCTGTAGCGTGTTTGTACGGCATGGAATCCGAATTTGGGGGGAGTATTTGTGGCGCTGAGGGCGACGAGGCTAGAGAGTCGTGGATATCTCGCGAGAACAGATGACGATGATGTCGTCTGAAATGAGAGAGGTCTGCGAGGTCGGATTTGCCGTTTTGAGTGGGGTGACGGTGAGGTTGTAGGTGGTGAGTTAAGACCTGTAGGTACATGGACGTGCATCTTGCTAGAATCCTTGTCCAATGCGTCCGACCAGATTCATCAGAGCGCCCTTCAGCGTCAGCCTCAACCACGACGGGAAAGCTGATGTTCACGAAAATGTTGGTAAGTATGTTGTAGGGTGCGGTTAGATACATTATTAACATACCTTTTGTCAGAACCTTTCCGTTTGAATATTTTTGAAGCGCATGGTACCGCTGATTACTGTACTATGATGCGTAACATCCCATCCTATTTATTGACTTGACCGGTCTCAAGGTAGTAGAGTATGTATGTCTATTTCGCTGTCACCTAAGATGGCGGTAAGATTCGAACAAGGGAATGCAGGAAAGCGTCTTACCTCTCCGCTCCATAGAAGGTCGTACTCGTACGCCCGAAATGTCTTGCGTGTATCTGCGCCAAATTTCGCCGCTCGCCCAGCCTTGTACATGTGAAGGTAGAAGATGGAGCGGTTGGACTTCATGTCGAAGGCCCAGGCTGTCCAGTGCTCGCCTTCCTTCCGACCTTTTGCCATGGGACGGTGATCCGAATTGTGAAGGGAATCACTATAACCACCATAAGCGGAAATACAGAGAAGAAACGAGAGAAATGAACGCACTGGATTAAAACCCGCCAATCGCGGATGCCAAAAATTCTATCCACCTTAGTTTTGTTGGTATACATTGTGTCGTAAGCCAACGACAACGCCATGTGTCGACGGCTTTTGATTGACTGAAGGATATAGATTTGGAGTAACATGAGCAGAGTATGGCAGAGTTGATCGTGTCTTGCGATCCTATTGATTACTTACATAATTACCTGCAAGCGAAGACCTTCTGCAGCGCTCAACGGGATGACCCAATCGGACGAGTGGTTGGCTTGCAGAACCCAGGGAAGTCCGAGACGACTGACGACACGATGCAAGAGCAGCTCCCGGAGAACTCCTCTTAGAGTGTGCGTCTTGAGAAGAATAGTCACGGACTACGGATGGCAAAGTCAAATAGGACGCAGTCTCGCGAATTACTGTCCCTCGGTTTGACAAATTGGGTAACTGCCTTCTTGATGGGCTTGTCCCTTGAGAACATTGCGGTCATCGTAATCTTTTGATAAAGTGAATGAAAACAAGACACCGGTTGCTGAGAGATGTACTATTTCAGCACTGATCTTGGAAGATCGGTGAAAGCTCCGACGCCACGACGCCATTTTCCACCTTTTGGCTGCAATCCGGGATCAGCTGCTGCATCAGCGTCTTCAGCTCTCCAGCCTGCTTCTTCGTTACTATCGGCTCATCATGTCGCATGTGCAGAGTCGTCATGCTACAAGGTCGGTCAATCGGCTGGGCACCGACTTGATCTACGCGGTGCATGTCAGCAAAAACGGCGTACAGGGGGGGGATTGGGGGATAACGAACAATGTTGAAACATTCCTGTCATTCACTTTTGGCGGGCCCCCATTGCGATAGAGGGAAAGCGAGGAGCGCGGAGTTGCATGCCGAGGTCTGCGACGCCGCCGGGAGAACTCTGGAGGGTTGGGGCTGTTGTGAGCAGAAGCCCATTCATGAGTAGAGTACGGGCGAGAATCACGATGCACTGGGTCGGGTGGCAAGGAGACAATAGTGGGACATTTTTTTTCAAGCAGGGGCAGCAACCTGAACAGACCCACATCAGCCATTCATGTCCGTCAAATAAAATGCCGGACAAACGTTATGTA